TCCTGATGAGTCTGGATCTCAGACTTTGTATTGTATTTAGTTTTTGTAAAATGCTCTTATGACCATTTCTTTAATGATTTTTACTTCCTTGTACAAAGTAAAACAGGTATTGTAATCGCAAAAATTTTCAGGTATCATATTTCAATGAAGTACAGGGTTACAGTGCTTGAACAATGAATTATGTTGTTCTTATCTTCCGGTTAAAGTTTTTATGCCTTTAGTTAATCTGCATGCAATAATTATAGAAATATCAACAATTTAAAAGTTGTTTAAGTGCGGCTAAACCTAATTTGTTTACCATATTTCCCATATTTGTTTACATTGAAAACAGCAGAATAGTGAATTAAATCAGCTTCTGCACCTTCAGTGTCTTTTTCCGAGTGGGATGAAACGTAAACTTTCAATTTTGTGCACTAAAAAATCTGCCTTCTTGCCTGCTGTCTGAATTGCTTGTTTTTACATAAAAACTCTTAATTTTAATTTAAAATTTGTTTTTTTAATTGTTTTTAACTGTATTTGGTGTTTTATGTTTTTCTATGTTTTCAATTTTTGATAATATTTTGAGGCTTTGTGTATTTTTGCCTTGCTGCAAAGTGAGAACTGAATTAATTGAGTGAGAACTATATCTCTAATAGAATTCGAAGAAATAAGTTTAAATGAAATGCAGAAAAAATGCATATAATTTAATATTCCTTGCAAAGAAGTCGTGGTGTACATCAGATTTTCGGTAAAAGTAATAGCCCCCTCCAATATGTGAAGTGTCCAATACATACTTTTTAATATTTAATCTGACAAATTAAAATATATTTCATTGTATATTCAATTTAGGGATAAACTAAGTGTGAGTTATCTGAAATACTTTCATTTGAAATATCTTGAGAAAGAATGGTCTTATATTTTCAGTTGATGACATTTCACACTACACAGTCAAAAGTCGTTAATTCGGACACCCATAATCCGGACCTCAAAGCTAAAAACTTTCTACGCATGCGCCGCGTTGACACATGCGCATAAGCGTTTACGCATGCGCGTAAGACATTTACGACTGCACATATGTGTGTGCGCAAGTGCAGAATACATTTTCGCATGCGCATTTTATATATAACGGACGGTTAAATTAAAATTATCTATTTCAGTTAATGTGATGATTCGTTTTTCCTTAATTTCGAATTTCCGGCTTATTATTTTTTGCGGACTGTAAGAGCAATTTTAAAAGTAAACTTGAACTTTCGATTATGTCAAATAGAATTTCCAATACTGGAGCTCCCAAAGGATCTACAAAACGAAAGTATATTCCGATGTCCATCAAACAAAAAGTGGAATTGCTGCAAAAAATGGATAAAGACATGAAGAAGGTGTAGTGATGAGTCGGTACTACCGAACCGGGTATTTTGTAACAGGTACTGAAAATCGGTACATCCAAGTACCCGTTACTTCAGTACCGAAATCGGTACTTTTCAGTATTTGTTACTTCTGTACCAAAACAGGTACTTTTCGGTATTCGTTACTTCTGTACCAAAACGGGCACTTTTCGGTATTCGTTACTTCTGTACCGAAACAGATACTTTTCGGTATTCCTTACTTCTGTACCGAAATGGGTACTTTTCGGTATTCGTTATTTCTGTACCAAAACGGGTGCTTTTTGGTATTCGTTACTTTGTAACGAAAATATGTGTCTCTTCTCAGTATTTCGGTATTCGTTACTGGAGGATCGATGACGGTTCAGCTCACTTCGGTTTTGGTCGAGGACAGTAATATCTGTTGTATTTGCGAAATGGTGATATGCGCTCTGTGTCCACGAATGGTCTGCTCCTCAGACGCTTCCGTAGTTGACATTTTTCTGATTCAAAATCTTACTCCGTACAGATAAAATCAAACACATGGTGATGTGGCAGAGTTCCTTCAGTGCTCAAAATCGTTAGCTGCGTATCTCGGTACTCCAAATCGTTACTAGGGCACTACTCCAAATTACTAGGTACTTTGGTACTCCAAATCGTTACTAGGGTACTCCGGTACAGTAAACCGTTACTAGGGTACTCCGGTACAGCAAGCCATTACTCCGGTATTTCGTTACTTCGTTACTCGGTACTTGAAATCGGTTTTCGGTACTTTTCAAAGTAACGGTTACTCGAGTAACGGGTATTTTGTACCGAGTACAAGAATGTACCGAAGTTGCCCATCACTAAGAAGGTGACAGAGAGGTTAGTGAAAACGAAAAAATTTCGATTGACAAGTTAGTCGGTATTCTCGGCACAGCAATTACGGGACTTGAACATCGGAACTTTGAACAAAAAATTATGTCTGTTTATAGAATTAAAGAGAAAGTATTATCTCATAAAACGAAGTAACTTAAACAACTTACATTTAAAGAAATGTTTAATAAAGTAAACAAATAAATATTAAGCTTTTTTTTTCTAAATTTTGATACCCTTTAGATCATAATTGTTCTTTATTTCATAAATTATGGTTTCATGTTTTTAATTTTAGAATTTCTGCATGCCATCTTACGAGATTTAAACTGATGATCTATAATCCGGAAAAATCGATAATCCGGAATCGCCGAAGTCCCGACGAGTCCAGATTAACGACTTTTGACTGTAGTATATTGTCAGATGAAAGTAGATACAGTGGCGTAGCGAGCATAACTTGCGTCCGGGCCAAAATACTTTTTTAGCTCCCTTCCCCCCAAAAAGCACTTACAGTAATATAATGTATAGAATATATTCGTAATAAGAAAATAATGCAAATAATCATAAAATGCCGAATCTGTCATAAAGTACTCTAAAATGTATTAAGAAGTCACTACCTAATTACATTAGCATTGTATTCAAAAATGTATCTGTGTCAGCGGAAAAATCAGACATAGGATAGAATTAGTTAAAAAGGTATTATTTATTTTACATGTTTATATAATTGTTTTTAAAAAGTACAGTTTTTAATCAATTAAAAGTTTATATATTATAGATAAGTAGATATATTTATTAGTTATTAATACAATATAGTGTTATAATACATTAATACAATTAATTACTATGTATACATTTTTCTTGTCTTGGATGAAGGAAATTTATCAAAATACCTCATCACAGTCAGTCATTTCAAATTTTTCTCTTTCCATATTTAAAAATGCTAGATGGCTTAGGGGATCTTGTCCTATCATTGACTGTAAATATGTCAAAATTTATTTTAATTTGCTGAATGAATGTTCATAGCTAGCATTTGATAATGAAATAGTAAGAAGTATTTGAAGTGCTACTCTTTGGTTTGGAAAAACATTTTCTCCATAGATCTGTAATGGAGTTTTAGGTTCAGTTTCTTTTTTACTGCGAAATAACGTCTAGCAGTTACATTCACTGCTCAAAACAATTAGGGAGCATTGCAAGTTCGGTATTAAATAACCATATAATCGACAACCTTTTTAACAAAAGGAAATAGAAGAGATTATGAAGGAAAATTATAACCTTTACAAAGTTGGGAATATGCAAATTTAGTCTGTGGCATCGGAAACTATGCGTTTTAGATAAGGAGTAAAGAACGACCTGCAGCATTCCTTTTTAGCAGGAGACTAAAAACAATTGACACACTTGTAGCAGTGAATACAGTCAAAATTCGTTAATTCGGACACCCATAATCCGGAATGATCTATAATCCGCACCTGAAAGCTACAAACTTTCTGCGCATGCGTCGCGTTGACGCATGCGCACAGGCGTTTACGTGTGCACGTAAAACCTTTACGGCTGCGAATGTGCGCATGCACATAAAATGTTTACGCATGCGTGTTTAATGTAGAACGGATAGTATAAGCTAAGCTAAAATTATCTGATTCAGTTAATGTTGCAGATTGCGTTGTTCCTTAATCTTCGAATTGGATCCGGCTTATTATTTTTTGCGGACTGTTAGAGCAATTTTATAAAAGTAAGCTTGAACTTTCGATTATATCAAATAGAATTTCCGATATAGATTTGCTAATATGTAAAGGATCTAAAGTGAAAGTATGTTTCGAAATCGAAATCTGTTTATCAATTTCACGCTGCTCGGAAGGTGGAACGCCGCAGCGCACAGTGAATTGGAAGTTGATCTGTCAGCACTATTTTCCAGAAATCGATCGAAATAAAAACTGAAATTTTCCGGAAAATCTTGTTTGGAGACCATTTGGAGCCCCTCTGCAAGCGGTGCCTGGGGCATCATACATCCCCTTACCCGGCCTTCGCTATGCCATTGAGTAGATACCATATTTACATATGCATAAGCTGCGATTATTTGTTCTAATTTTTGTACAGGAATTAGGATGTAGCTGTACTAAAACAGTGTCTTCATTTGAAATTGACTGCTGTTATTTTTACTTCTTTCTACAAAGTAAAGCAAATATTATATTCACAAAAAATTTCAGGTATCATATTTCAGTAAAAATACCCATATACCCATTTTGACCACTCTTGAATCCATTTGAGCGATTTTTTTTTTTTTTTTTTTTTTTTTTTTTTTCCCCATGATAGCTGTATTAAGGACAGAATAAAGGACTCTTTGCTAATTTAAGAAGGAAACCTGCATTAATGCTTGATTTCTGAGATTATTAAATTAGTGTCTAAATATACAAGAAGGTTTTTTTTTTTTTTTTTTTTGTAAATTAAAAAAAAAAAAAAAAAAATTTGGGGGGGTGGGGTTTGCTTTCATCTAAACATGCAAACAAAAAATTCAATCTTAAGAATGCATTGAAATATAACATCAGTATATGTAAAGTGCATTTCTTTAACAAAAAATCGTTACATTAAATTTAACAAATCCAAACAATGTAATATTTTTTTGGAATACAGGGGAAGATTTATCCGTTTGTTAACCGGAGCATGGAAATAGGCTTTAAATAAACTTTTTTTTCCCTCCAGTTTTATTTTGTTACCTTCTTACTTTTAGGAATTTTGATTATTTCATATATTTGATTTAATTTTCTAAATGAGTGAATTTTTTACTGTTTTGATATGTATATTTTTTCATAATTTAAGTTCTTTATTGTAGAAGCTTTTGCGGTATGTCAAGGTTATAATCCACCTGATGGATATGTACCAAACATGATGAATCCTTTACTTGATTTACAATATGGTATGCTTTTATTTTCATAATGAATTCCTTTTATTAGTCTTTCACTTCTATTTTGTTGTTTTTTATAATGAGGAAAGTAATTAACATTTCTATGAATTTGATTAAAATATCTTTTCGTAATAAAGGAATTTTATAATAAATTACTGGAAAAGTTTTCAATAGGTATCACTATTGTATGTACAATATTTACTATAAAAAATATTAGTTTATTACATATATGCATCTTATTTGCATTCTAATTAAGACTGACATTATAAACAAAAGTAACTCCTTTTTTGTTTATGCATGCTTCCATTTGTCTATTCGTCTATCTATCCGTTTGTTTTCTGTAATCATATATTTTTCTATTTCTTACTAATGATTACCAGATGTGTGGAAAGGTTCTTAATTTAGAAAAACAAAGAAATCCTTCAAAAAATTTCTATTAGATGTTTTTTAATTATTATTATTTGGAGATACAAAATGTAGTTTTCAATTTTTTTTTTTTTTTTTTTTTTTTTGTTTTGTTTTGTTTTGTTTTGTTTTGTTTAAAATGGTTAAGTTTGAGATTGACATGAACAAAACTATAGCATGTAGAAAAACTCTAATGAACAAAGAGATGTTTGTTCATTAGAGATGTTCATGATTATTTATCTGGTTACTATTTTACTTATTTAATCAGAAGTTTAGAGGAAAGAAGATATTTTCATTAATGTGAAAAATTAATTAAAATGCCTTAATAACAGGCCTTATTCTTGAATAGATATATGATTGTACACTAGTGCACCTGTATGTTCACGTAAACTTTAAAAGGTATTTGAAACCACATATTTTAGCATCTCTGCAACAAGCATTGTAGAAGACAAGATATCTATGTAGCGTATATAATTGTGGTCAAGTTAATTATGCAGAGTAAGATATTATCAACATTTGCTAAAAAGTTCAATTAAAAAGTTTTCTCTAGATTACAATACATTATGTGTTGTACTACTAAGTAAAGCAATATATTATACATTAGTGTGTGTTTTCTGTCCTATATATGAAAGTGGAAGCTTCTGCCTTTTTACTTTAATCTGCAAAAAATAATGCAAAATGGAAGAAATGCAGCTCTTGTGTTAGACAACATAACACATTTCTTCTAAGGATGTAAAATAATATAAAATATTATACATCAGAATGTATGCTCTGTCCTATATATGAGAGTTTTTGACATTTTATCTTAATCTACAAAAGATAACAGGAAATGGAAGAAATGCAGTTCTTGAGTTGGGCAACATAACGTTTTGCTTCTAAGGATGTTAGAAGTAAGAATCATTAATTTTATGAGCACTAATATTACACCAGAAGTTTCTTACGTGCTTGCAATATCATTACTGTTATATTTTAGGTCTTTTATTACAGTAAATAAAACCTTAAAATTAAAACAGCTGTGATAACATGTTGCTAATGAGAACAGGGTGAATGTCATAAGCAGAAGTGAAAGCAAATTCAAAAAGGAGTATGGGTAGAAACAAAAATGAAATAATTTATAACAACTGAGAGGCTAGATTCTTTGTCAATATATTTATGACCAGTAGAATGGAATGTTAGCTTCCAAACTGTTGGATTGTATTTTATTGTGAGCTTGAAGAGTAAATTATCATTATTTAAAACTTAAATTTTTAAATATCTGACTTTCAATTGTTTCATTTTATGTTGTTAAGTAACCTTAGTTATTTGGAGGAATATTTAAATTGCATATATATATATATATATACAGCAAAACTTTGGTTCTTGAATTTAATTTGTTCCTGGAGGCCTCTGTCATCTAAAAAATCTGTAAGCTGAAACTATTTCTCCATAGGAATTAATGTAAAACAGATTAATCCATTATAGGACTACAGTTAATTGTTTATTTAAACGTTGGAACAATATTTTATAAACAAATTCATAACATGAAATGATCAATAGAAATCATAAATCTAAGACAAAAACGATAAACATAGTATTAAAAAGATAAAAAAGCCTGCAACTTAATTTTATCATATCTATGTCAAGAGGAGTGGAGAATGATGAGGAAGAGATATTACTGTTTAGACAAGAAATGCTTTTCCTTAAAAACATCAGGTAACTGTTTCTCTGGGATGTCTTCATTCATGTTTTCTTTGCATCTTAGCACTACTGAAAATGATGAAGAGATATTATTGTTTAGATAAGAAATGCCTTTTCTTAGAAACATCAGATAACTATTTGTCTGGGATGTCTTCATTCATCTTTTCTTTGCATCTTAACATCACTATGCCTGAAACTCACTGGGCCTTCATTTCACTCAAAATTTGTCGCATATGATTTGCTGCTGTCTGGGTTTTAAAACGCTTCTAAAGTCAGGCATGACATTATTAATAAAATTGCTTTTGCTGTAGAATGCTACTGCTTTAGCAGAGTAGTAGCATCATACGAAAATTTTGCATCTTACCCTATTTTCAAATACTTTGTGGGTCAAAGAACTAGGATAATCTTTTATTCATTTTTGTTTCTCTGACTGCATGTCCATGACAGTTGCCTTTTGTTGCTACTTATGAAGTTGTTGCAGTTCTTTCTTGTTGAATTCATTTTTATGGTCCTCTTGTAATTTCTTCACATGTTCATCATTAACTTCTATGCCCAAGCCTAGTAACACATTATCATGCATAGCACAAAATTTCTAAGGGTCAAAGTGCTCACAGGTTCTGCCTGCAGTGCAGTCTGACTATAATTTCATCCAGGCCAAATTCATGGTCGTTCATTCTGTCAGTCGTTTGCTACTAATCATTTATAATGAGAGTTAAGTAACAGAAAATGCTAAAATGTTTCCAAAAATCTTTGAATGCTAATAGGTATGATAGGTTGCCTCAAAATACCTCTGAAGATCATTTTTATTGATTTGAATGGTGATAATTCAAAACATTTTTCATCATCAGAGGTTTTTTTTTTTTTCTGGATATTTGTTCATAATCCAAGATTTCGTTGTAATCTACAATTTGTATTCAGATTTTCCTTTATTTGCAAATGACAAAAGCAAGCTCATATTTAATTTAATGTGTATATTGATGTAATTCTCAAAGATTCTGTATAAATGTTATAGTAACTATTGTTTAAATTCTTTATAAGTATCACTAACTTTTAATTGTGTACGAGTTACTGTGCATGTTAGGAGTTTTGTTTATATGCAAAAATTTAACATTTATAATAATAATAATATATTAGCGTAAATATAATATCACTGTGCATGTAAGGTGACTCTGAAGTTTTTAATGTATTTATGATAAAAAAATGGCTTGCATGAAAATAATACTCACATATATGAGCTTAACATACTAAAGATATTCTGCAAGAAGAGTAATTAATTGGTCTTTGTATGATACAAGATAAAATTATGAAATTTATTTATACTGCAAGTGTAAAACAAAAGGGTAAATGACATCATATCTGTATATGATGCTCTTCCAAAAAAGTTTTCTAAGCACATATGTGAGAAAATTGGATTTTGCTGATTTTGCATGCATTTTGCTTCATTTCACATCAACACAGAAGTATATATTAGTATCTAAAAATTTTGCTGCATAGTGCTAGAATGTTGATTTATCTGTGAATTTAAATTGTGCTTTGTGTGATTAGTTATAAAATAATAATTTTTATAGCTTTTGAATTATGTTTTTCTGTAAATGTGATTTTCTGATTTTAAAAGTCACTACACAATTGTTGCTAGTTTTCTGTCTTTGAAATGCAAAAATATGATTATTAAACATTGCATGTAATAAGAAGTCATTTTTTTCAATATGTTATAGGCACCAGTAATCGGCGGAAAAACATCATACATATCATAGTGAGCAAATAAAGTTTGCTGTGTTAATCCACAAACTACAAACATGCAGTATTTGATATTAATGTTTTTTATTATCTCACATCCTACAAATGTGGCAAAAAAATGAAAATTATGTTCAATAATGCATGTGTATGTTTTTTTAACATGTTTAAGGCCTCTTTGTAAAGTGCCAGTATGCTAATATTGTTAATGCTAGATCCTCTTTAGGTCCTCTATGATTATGATGCGAATTATTTGTATAGATCCTTTCCTTTAAGGTACTCTCACAAAAAAAAAAATCTATAGGCGACAAATATGATGAATGCAAGGATCATAGTTTTAAAATGATACTGTTGCCCGTGGACTTCCCAGTTGTTGAGAAGTGAAGTTGCTGAACAGTGCTTATTCGACACAGGTTTAAATCCCGGCAAATGGTCTGGCTGTGGGGGAATTTTCATGGTTTTTGCCACGAATAACATAGACATGAATCAGTTTTCACAAAGGCATCCCTCTTACATTGTAGAACTTGCATGCTTTGCTGTAGTCAAAGAAACCAAACTGAAAACTCATGCAAAAACTATATGGCTTCATTGGATGTGTGGTGTTAAGTTAAGCTTGTTCGGAGCAACACTTAAATGTTTATTGATTTCAAAAATTGTGATAAATTATGTAATGAAGTTTTAATTTGCATTGTTTATCCTAGTTTCAAATGCTGTTCAACAAAGAAACAAATGCAAAATAGTATTCAACATTAAAAATTTATTAGTTTTTAGGAAGACATCAAGTTTTCTTAAATATCACGTATAGTCTTGTTTTCATAGCACAACAGAGCTCTGATACAGGATTGTTAGACCTTAGATAGCACGTGCACTTAGTAGTTCTGAAATTCTGAAATACTATTTAGAGAAAAACAATACAATTGCTTCAACCACATTTCAATTTATAATAGGGCATTTACTTGATGTGTGAAACTTCTCAGTCTCTTTAGATAATAGTTTCAGTATAATTTTTTACATGTTAAGCTGCACATATAAGAATGAGTGTGTTTTTCAAAAATGTATTTTAATAGAAAAAAATTTTTATGTTAATGAGAATGTGGTGTTTCAACTGCAGGTAAAGAAAGAAGGTAATTTATTTATTATTATTAATTTGTTAAATAGTATTAATTTTCAGTATTTTTAACAATATAAATACACAAAGTAATAAACTTTCTTTTTGAATATTTAGGAAATATCATGCATGTATTTAAATGCTTTACACCTAAAAATTTTGTTCAGTATCAAATAACACTTTTTTAATAGCAGCATCTAGATGGTCATTTATGAAATGGCATTCTTAAACATCATGTTTAGTCTTATCTTCCATAATGCAGACATTTCTTCTTTATTTTCATATTTTGAAGACATTAATAATTATTTCTTGATAATTAACTCTTCATGAACTTACTGAAAGGTGACATGGGATTTATTCCCTAAATCACAAGGAGGGTACGTGGGAATGTCATCCATTTACAAATGTATGACATGGATAAAAATTCAGTTTTAAAATAGTATTTCATCATTTTGTAATTGGAACAGATCAAAATAAAATAAAGATTTTTCTTTTAATCATTATAAAAAGTATGAACATGAAAATTTTTTCAGCTTGCTGAATATCAACAAAATATTTAGTGCAGAAAAAATTATTTTATATTAAATTGCTACTAAAATAGTTAATACAGAATGAGATATTTATTTTAAACATATACAGGCTGTAACAGTATAGCGGTGACAGACTTTCAGGAGAGACAGAGTACACCTAGACGATGGGAAATCGCATAGCAATGTATCGTCGAAAACGCTTTCCTGATGTGGTAGTGATGATACAATATGCAAAAAAGGAAGGACACAAACAATGAGACCAAACATGCTTTATTATGTTTAGTACGTACATCAGAAACCTAAAAATATGAATTAAAACAAGCTATAAAAGCTTGTTTTAAAAGTCCAAATGCACAATGATCCATGGGAAATACATCAGAGGACTGGAATGCATTTCAATTCCGGTTTGATTTCTTCTTCTTCTTTTTTTTTTTTTTTTTTAGCAGTAGATTTATAGGTATGGCTCGGAGCCTTATCCTGATGGAACTTAACACAGTGAAGATTCTTTGGATAAACAGATGAAATTTCTTTAAAAATAGATGTTAAAACATATTTCTGATAGTAATCTGAACTAATTTTGGCATTTTTTTCTACTTTCCTCATTTTAAGTTTTCCATTGTAAGAGAATCCAGTAATAACCTTAAAACCTTCTCTTGTTTCCTCTGAACCAACATATTAAGTCATTTTCGGTAGTAAATCGATCTTTTTCTATTGCAATCAGATAAGTATATTAAAGACTCATCAATTGTAACTATGCATTTCCATTTCTCAGCTGCGAAATAATTTTCATACAGCAATCTGCACATAGTTTTATGCTGAGAAACATGTTTTGGCATTAGTCGATGAACATCATGTGTTGTTTTGATTAGCTTTAAATCGGATTCTATAATTCTGTTCACAGTTCCTTCCGAGATATTTAAAGATTTTGCAATAGATCTTTGAGGGGGGTGGATTTTCCTTTAAAACAAGATTTAATAAGAACTGTACGTAACTTTGCTGGGTGTGAATTATTTGCCTTTTTCCCAGTCATAGTAAACTTTAGCATTTCTTTCCATTCATATTAATTATGTCACTTATTTTATGTGTAAAAATATTAAACCATGGTTTTCACTTCTCTTTTTTATTTATTTATTTATTTATTTTTAAATAATTCAATAAGAGTATTTCTCTTCTGTGCACAAATATAGCCCTCGAGCCATTGTTTATTTTTTAGCAACATTTTATTTAAAAATAATATTTTAAAGCTGCATGCAATAATTAAACCTTATTCAAATTTGATGCAAGTCGCATTTGTATTTTAAAATTAATATTTAAATTAATGGAAAAAATCATAATCGTTACAGAAATATATAAACATCCACTGTATATCTCTAATGATATTCGAGGAAATAAGTTTGAATGAAAAGCAGCTAAATATATATAATTTAATAGGCCATACAAGAGAGTTATGTGTGGTCAACATCAGGTATTTTTTTTTTATATAGGCGTAAATATGTGAAAGTTATTTAATTTTAAAGTATGATGCTGTTTTTTTTTTTTTTTTTTTTTTTTTTTTTTTTTTTTTTAGCTGTGTTATACTTTAAAGAAATTTATTTCATAGTTATATTAGGATATACAAGAATTAAAAACCTTATCAAGCTAATAACTTTATACACATTAAATTTTGCAGATGATTTTAACCAACTGACTGGAGTAAATCGCATAATTGTTCCATTTATTGCATGTGGGGATCTGAGTGCTTTTGATTCAGACAGAACTTATCCTCTGCAGGTAAATAGATTTCACTGACATTATTAAATAATTTTAATGCATTTAACATAAAAAAAATTAATTTTTGCACCATAATGTTTTACATTAACCTCATCAGAAATATATTGTATTAAATTATATGTATATATTGTATTAAAACATTTTAATTTGTATATATTTTGTACTGTGTCCCCCCTTTTTGTATAAAAAATTTTTTAGATATGAAGTATATGAGTTTTTCATTTTTGTATTGAGTATGCCTGTATTTTACTTAAATATAATTTATAAACTATTTAACTGTTTTAGTTGGATGCAGACAAGGAATATGTTTATCATGAGCCAACTCAAGCCCCTATTGACCCACCATATAAAGAAGCTGTCATGTTGAAAAGGCAGAATAAATTAGCAAAACCAGAAGTACACATAACACATTTTTTATCTGAAGCAAGTACATCTACAGACCAACAAAAATTATTGCCAGATCCCAAAACTGTTGATAAAGCATGTGAAAGTGATAATGAATTATCTATGTTACAGTCAGATACTTTTAATATTCAAAAACTCTGTTTACATGAAAAAAGTACAGATCAAACATAATATAAAAGTAAGTAATTTTCTGGTTCAAATTTTATAAATTATTTTAGGCTACACATCTATTCCTTTTATATAAATGGATTAGTGAAATATGAAAATTATGTAAATACCTTGCAGCACATATAATTATTAAATAATTGAAAATATTTGCAACATTTCAAAGAAGGAATCAATATATAATTTTTGGATGCATAACACTTTTACTCATGTAGCATTATGCATATTAGTTGCCTTTTCTTTTGAAAAATTACAATATTCTTTCTTTATTGGTCTTGTTACGTGCGTACAGCAATGGACAACAATGGATCGAAAGCACACAGAACGGCTGATAGCTTGATAAAATTTATTTTCACAAAAGAAATTTTTTTACATTTCTGAAATTTTCCTCAAAAGTACTCAGACAGTTCTCGATATGACAAATCACAATCATTATTTACAACTTTAAATTACTATGAATGTTAAAAAGATGGGAGAGTCCCAAGTGCTTGCTGACGCCCTATAACATCACTTTCTTGCATATCCTTTAGAAGTTTTCCTTCCCCATCCTGTTTAGCAGTTGATAGATGGATGTTGCTTGGTTGGTAGATGATCCCCCATATCAATTTTATGCTTTGCCAAACTGGTTCAACATATGTCTGAAGATATGCAAGAGAAAACCTCTTAAAATTTTTCAATGAACATGTAACTTTCCATCAGTGTTGATTTTATCACTGGACACAGTCTGGAGAGTAATGCAAGATGGCATGCAGAGATGAGTTTACTTTCCAATTGTTGAGCCATTCTGCAGTTCCTTTGTACATGGCCTTCACCATCACAGTTTCAGCACTTTAGGTTGGTTTTTTTGGCACTCCTGTTACATGTCAAGGTATTGACTAGCTTGGATAAATCATCTAGATGAGCAACCAGTTGAATCATTCGCTCCTGGAAATGAGCAGCTCTGATTCGGCCATGGGTCTCTACGAGTTGCTTGTTGGGCTTCCTTAAATTCTATGGCATATACTAAAGCACCCACTAGATCCTTGATATCTGCCATTCATAGTGCTTTCTGTATCTCAGGAACCCAGATATCATTGATGAAGTACTGCAGAGACAGGATTTCCTTTGTTTCTGTTAGGTAGTAGGAAAAGGCGAGGTTAGACAGCCTTTCAACATTCATAGCAAGTTCCTGGTATGTTTTCATGGGCTTCTGTTTATGGGATTTTAATTGAAACTTGGTATAATCTTTTAAACACTTCTCTCCAAAGAGCCAGATAGAACTCCGAAGTCTCTCCTTCTTGGTGACAGCAGCAGAAACTTAATGCAAAAGGGAAAAAATACAAAATTATAAAAATTAATCTCCTTTTGCTGAAGCTCCAATTCAGAACTCATCAGGGGAAAATGAATTAGTTTTGTAAAAGTCGATTAATGTATTTCGAAAACATGTTTCATTCTCCTGGTTCAATTGAGATAAAAAAAAGAAACAGTTAAATTTTCATTTAAGACATTAAAATTCATATAAAATCGAATTTTAAATGTACCAGAATTTTTCCTACACGCTTTCAAAACACTTGGAAGAAAGAATAAGACATAACATTGTGCAAAATTGAGCTCAGTTTTTTTTATTCTTATACATTGGTAAACTGTGCATTTTTGTTTTAAAAGTGGCTCAGTTGCATTGTTCTTATGTTTCGGTTAAAGTTTTTATGCCTTTAGCAATAGTTGTATAATTATCAACAATTTAAAAGTTTAAGTGGCTGTAGGCCAGACAAGGCTGCCATATATTTACATTTGAAACTCTTAATACAATAGTGAATTAAGTCATTTGGTGGACCAACTTCAGTCTTTTTGCACAGTGGGGGCAGAAAGTTAACTTTCAATTTTGTGCACTGAAAATTTGGTCTTCTTGCCCATTATCTGAATTGCTTGTTTTGGCATAGAAACTCTTAATTTTAATTGTAAAAAAAAAGTGTTTTTTTTTTTTTTTTAACTGTATTTGGTGTTTTAAGTTTTCTATATTTTACAATTTTTTATGAAGATGTTTTGAGTATCTAAGTATTTTTGCCTTGCTGAGAAGTGAGAACTGAATTGATTCATTAAGAAATATAGCTTCTAATGAAATTCCAGAAAATAAATGGAGTTAGCAAAATATGTGTATAATTTGTAAGGCCGCACAAGGAAGCCATGTGGTGTCCACCTCAGATATTTTTACAGGTGGATGCACATTTCTGAACTATTTTCCATAGCTTCTGATAGAAATAAACAAGCATAAAATTATTAAAATGCCTTTGAAATGACATTTGCTGGCAGGAAAATGCATCATTTCTCTATCCGAGACCATCCTGCTTAATTACTGTACGAGTTGCGTACAAAGCATATTTGCATTAAGTAATTAAAGTAAGTTTTGCTGCATCCAGATTGGGTATGTAGGAAATATTTTGGATAAAAATAAATACATGTAAATTTGTTAAGAAAAATTATGAGTTGATTGTTTAATTGAATGTGGCAAAGCATATAAGGGTAAGGATGTCTTCATGGTGGACTTTCTAAGGAAAACTGGTTTGTACCCATGGAAATAAAACCACAAAGATACCAAAACATCTAGATAGTTCAACAGAATTGATATATCCAAATTGATATATCAAAAAATGTTTTAACTACTTGGTTACTGGTAAGCCAAAAATTGAATTTCTTTTGCATTTATATTGTGTTACAGCTGCATTTATAGCTGCTTTAAATATCATTTTCACTGTAAAACATCTACAATGAATCATCAACTTTGTTCAGTCAATAAAAGTCTGAGAAGTCTGAGAAACTGCTGTATGTGAAATCACATGCTAATTAAGATCTTATATTTTGCATACTGACAGTACTTCCTGAAATCTTCTATATTATTTACATCCGTTTCATGCATTAGTTTCAGAGGCACAATCATGTCTGTATTATTACATCTTCTATATTATTTACATCCGTTTCATGCATTAGTTTCAGAGGCACAATCATGTCTGTGAATTTTGCTTTCGAAGGACAATTCTTTATATCATGAGTAAAAATAATGTGCCTCCCTGAAGGTATAGTAAACCATGAGTACTAACAAATTTAATGAATTGGTATAATTACAATTGTGGTTATAGTTTTATTGAAATTGAATTATCTGCAATTGCAGTTATGTTGTAACTGTACAATTTATAATATAATTACAATGTAATTGCCTGATAAGTATACAAATATATTGTAATTGAAGGATTTCAGGTCACTATTCAATGTAATAACAGTACAACTGCAGTTACAGTGTATTGAATTACTTATACATTGGTTATCATAAATTAAAATCACGATTACTGAAAAAGTTACATGTAGAATTTAATGAACCTTACCCACAATATGCAACACATAGTAAGGTATCAAATAACATAAAAAGAAATTACCAGACAAATATGGTAGTATAGAAATTAGCACATGTATAAAATGAACAAATCGAAGGTGTCAGTTTGCTATAGGAAAAGTACCTTCAATATGGAATATGATCGCCTCTAGAAGCAATACAGCACATAGAGCGATGTGTGATGCTTTCAATTATGCGGTCTATCAGTTCTATAGGAAGCGAGAGGCATTGCTCTTGCAAAGCAGTTGCAAGCGCGACAAGGGTCTGAGGGGGTGGATTGAGAGCAGCTAGACGTCTCCCTAAAGCATCCCAAACGTGCTTAATAGGATTCATGTCCGGGGATCGAGCTGGCCACTCCATGCGCTTAATTGTTTCCTGTTTAAGATAATCATCTACGATGTGACCCCTGTGTGGTCTTGCGTTGACGTCATGTAACAGGAAAGCATCACCTATTGCCCTGGTATATGGGCACACATAAACAACAAGGATGTCATCTCTATAAATCTGAGCATTCACGGTTTTCCTTGGAAAGACATGGAGGTCTGTTCGTCCACCCAAACAGATGCCACCCCAAACACAGACACTGCTCCTTCCGTATGCATCTCTTTCACGGGTGTTTGACAGATGATAACAGGTTCTAGGTTCTCTCCATATCAAATAACGCGTACTATCGCTTTTTAGACTAAACCTGGACTCATCCATAAAGAGAAACCCCCTCCATTGATCAGGTGTCCAGTGGTTGTCATGCCCACTGACAACGGTCCCTCCTATGGCGTGACCCTGAGCAGCACACAAATGGCTGGTCGCCTCGCATACAGACCACCTTCGTGAAGCCTTCCACGCACAGTTCATGTGGACACGAACCTTCCAGTGGCTGCAGCAAGGGAGGATCTAAGAAGAGTTGGAGTAGCGGTTCTATTCCTGCATGCACATAACGTCAAATATCGGTCATCAGTGCTCGTCATAGCAGTTGGCCGTCCTTGGCTGAACCTCCTAGATGCCGAATCTATGGTTTGAAATTGCCTCCAAAGTCTATGAACCACAGGACTCACATTTAGCCATCTGGCCACTTCTGTTTGACTTTGTCCTGCCTCTAGTCTCCCATTGACTCTCCATTGCAGTTCTGCAGGCAAATGATGCCTGGAGGTCATTGTTACGAATTGGCTATCTCAGATTTCTGATGTCACTGTCACAGTGAAATATGTGGGCTTGCTCTCAAACATGGACTTTTGCTCCTCGCAGATGACGTATTCTGAAAGCAGCGCCACTAATTTGCATATCGCAGGTTTACTCAGCTACTCTTACTTGGCAACATATTCAAATTTTACATGGTTTGGTTTATTTTTTAGGGAGTTATCGCTATTTTTGTGATTTTTCCTTAATTTATGATAACCAGTGCATTTACAATTACATTGTAATTCAATTACTGATCAGTTATATTGCAATTGAATTTGGACTTTACTGTGTCCAGAGCTGGCATAGTAAGTAGGAGATGTTCAAGGCCACTCTGTGGATAGAACTTGGATCCTCTTATTTCATACTATGCTGGTTTGGCTGAGGTCAGCCTTGGTTTAGTATCAAGGCTATCAGTGTCGTGTCGTAGGCAATTCAATTATGCTGCATAACCACTATAGGGAAAAAGAGCTGCTAGATAACTCATGTATTGTGAGTGAGAAGATTTAATTTGTGAATATGGGTAATGACTTAGTCTGCTAATATATTTGGCCATTGGGTTATGAGACAGATTATGTGCATTTATCAATGGTGCTGTGATGCATTTGGTTGTTCATGAGTGTGAGGGGTGTAAATGAAACAACCAACATTATTAAGGAGCATGTTATTTACTATGTCCTTTCAATCTTATGGTGCCATCTGTGATTAGCAGATAGAACAATTTGTTTACTGCAGTGAATGTTTGTTTTTGCTGTTGCCATCCAGAAATGGCATTGGTGCTGGTTTAGGAACCCCACAACATGTATAGTTGTGGGAGGTATCAAAGATCCAGATGGTGCTAATTATCAGTTACAATGTGGTTTCATAAGAGAAATGGTTAAGAATCCCTGTCCCATACTACCTAAACTAAGAATAAGGAATTGACTGGATTAAAAGTTGCATTTATAGTTTGATTACCTTTTAGACATTTATCTGTTCTTTTCAAATGTAAATTATGCTTTTTATTTTGTGACTTAAAAAAAAGTGTTTTAAGGTAAAATTTTTATCAATGTTCCATATTTAGTAGTGATACCAAATCATACTCATCCAGGTGATTCCAAATGCAGAAATTTATTTTATTTTTTTTCTCTCTTTTGAATATGGATGAGTATAATATAAGGGAGATGTCACATCAGATTTTTGTATTACATTAGTATTCTATCTGACTATGAAAAACTACATAGTTTTAAAAAATTTTAATATACAAAATACATTATATAAGTTCTTCTAATTGTTTATTTTGAAATATAAGGATTACAGGTAATAAATTATGTAATAGTCTAAACATGCTACAGAAAATGAAATTTTAAAGGAGACTCCATTTAGAGCCCACATGTTTCTCCTTGTGCAATATATTTAAACTGACCGTGAATGGCACTGCAAGCAAATTGGCATATGTGGTCATTTTGCTCCTCTAGGATTAGAATTAGAGGATTCTTGTATTGTACTCCTGGCCGAATGGGCAAAAGCCATCTTTAATCTGAATGTCAAGGATATCAATATTGTATGTGGCAATCAATGTTGCTGGAAGTCATTCTTATGCTTATATGTATTAAATGGAGTTATAAGAAAATTTCTGTGTGAGAATTTGCTATTTAACAAGATTTTAAATGTTTGATAAATGGTATATTAAACTATATATAAGCATATAAATTGCAATGACAATTTAATTTATCAGTTATATAAAGTTGAAATGGAATTAACATATGGCTGTATAATTTTTTTCCACTTAAAGTAGCGTTACATATTGCAGACATTTGGGCCTAGAGTTATGATGCAAATTATCTGAGCATTATAATATTTTAATAAATTTGAGAATCATCTTAAATATTTTTTATGATAAATATATAATTAATCAGAGTGCTTATTTTCTTAAAGAATTTTATATTTTGTTATTATAGGTTTTGTTTTATTTTTTTAGGTATTCCTGTATCCTTATTCCAAGCAACTGGAATATAGAGAAATTTTGGACTTTTTAACCATGAACAAGGAGTTACATAATCTTGTTCACGAGTACTTTTAGCTCATTATACATAAAAGAATTTTAAAATCTCCATTTCACATAAAAAATGGGAAAACAAAATATATGTATATTTCTTTGCAGTTAATAATCATGTTGTTTCACATAACTAATTCTCTTTATGTTTTGTTTAACAAGCAAAGTGAAATTTTGATTTCAAATTCAAAATGCACATAAATGCAAAATCTTTTTAAACACTTAAATCCATCCTTATATACATTTACATGCATTTTTTTAATTTATTTATTTCCAATAATTTTTATTTATTTATTTCCAAGAAAAAATAGCATAGGCATAAATTCATAACAAATTTATTCTGTAAGGAATCATTAGAGATATAACAAAAGTCCAGACAGATGGAATATGTACCTTTCCATTTGACTTTCTACACAGTGCATGTGCTTTTAATGCTTCATTTGTATCTTTACTTCCAAATAGGTTCAGCTCTTGCCAAAATCCAACTAAGAAGAAAAAAATTAATCAATGTACATATGCATACTTGTAAGAAGGTAAATGTTAAGTATGCCAAAACATTTAAAATATAATCTTCACAGAAGTAAATATAAAATAACAAAATACAAAGTGTGTGTACACATTCTTAGAACATTTTCGGAGCCTATTAATTAATGTTTAAAATGTAAATAGTAATTTTTTTTAATGTTCAATCTGATAGCCTTTGTATGGATTATAAGTCTATATTATGAATCCCGTGATAGAAGGGCTTTTTATAAAATTTCCAAGGGTATTTAATTCTATTCCTCTTCTGCTTTCAAGAGCCCACCAAATCTTTCCAGGTTTGCACATAGAAAGAGCTTTTTTTTTTTTTTTTTTTTTTTTTTTTTTTTTTTTCAAGAGACCAGACGTGCAATAGTCCATAGGTTGTTAGATTTTCAGAGTTGTTGAACACTAGAGAACTTTGCAAGGAATACATTGAAAGTGTATATATGCAGTACCTGTATCAGTCTTCATTCTTTCAAGGAATGCAGTGATACTTTTCTAAGTACAATTTGTTGCTTTGTCTTGATCAAGTTTCACTCTTTAAAAGTCACTGGGATAAGAAATAGAATTTCTTCGGTAAATGTTGTAAAAGTTTCTATTGATAGTACATTGAGATATTCTAAAATGTTTTCCCCGTTCTTCTTTTTTTAAATTTCCTGTTATAAGAGAATCCTGCGAATATCGTAAAACCCTTACCAAAATTTTCTTTGCATTGATAAAACCAGGTTTTAAAATTTTTTTCTTGTTGCTTTTGACAATAAATAGACCTTTTCTAGTCACAATCATTTAAGTAAACCTATGCCTCATCAAGGATGACAATGTATTTCCATTATCTCTTGCTAGATAGTTTTCATACAGGGTTCTACAAATTGTTCTACATTGAGCTATATGTGTCAGCAAAGCTGGTGAAAATCCTTTCTGATTAATAATGGTGCTTTTTCGCACTCAGAAATTTTAATACCATATATTTCACAATGTTTTTGAAATTGTAATAGCAATATATTGAATTATGGAATAGCAATATCTGTATGTACATATTTTGGGTATCACATTTCAAGTAAAATACCCATTTTCACTGCTCTCAAATCCATTTAAATGATATTTTTGCATGACATCTGTACGTACAGACATAAGGACTCTTTTCCAAAAACAGATTGAAAAATGGATTTAAAATGAATTCAGAAGAGATTTTTCATGATGTCTGTATGTACACTGTGTCAAAGAAGGGAAAAAAAAAAGGGGACACTTCTATATCTCCCATACTACTGGGCCGATTGAAGAAATTCAAATTGCATTTTTCATGTTTCGAAAGCGCAACTTGGGATATATATCAGATTTATATATAGCATTATTCTAACATAGATATTTTGACACAAAATAAAACTTTTTCTGAAATAACATACCAATTTTTTTCCATATTTCGATTCTACGTCTCAAATTATGCCTAAATATTCAATTTTGTGCAAAATTTACGGAGAAATTCAAACATTTAGCTTGGCGCAATTTTTTCACTTTGCACCAAGAATAATTCACTTGGCGAACTTCTTAATATATGGCAACCTATTTTCCTTTCCCCTTCATTATGCCGGAGCGGGGAAAAAAAGCACATCATTCCTACCTACCTTTTTACATTGTGCATGATCAGAAAAAATATCACATCGTTCTACTTTCAAATAATTTTAACAAAGTGCTTAAACCACTTTTGATGTTATTATCGCTTTCGACAAATATGCCAAATTTCAAAATGCGCCAATATATAAATTCACATATATCTTCGGAAATTTTGAATAAAAAACTAATTGTTTTGCAGGTATACTTAGAAATACATCTACTTTAAAATGATAGTAAAAATTTTATAGATTAATTTTTTAAAAAATATATAAAAAAAAATTATTTAAAAGTACGAAAATAAATCATAAAATAATGGGTGAATGTTATTTGAAATGAACCTTTATTTCAAAATGTGAAAAGAAGAATCAAATAAGTTTAATAAAAAAGAGAGATTAATAAATATATATATATCAAACTCACAACCCACGGTTTAAGGAACCCTGGCATATAGTATATGGCAATAGGAACATCTTTTATTAATTATGATAATGCCGTGAATGTTCACAAAAGACATGATTTGAATATATCATAATAAATATAATATTCTGTAATATTGTTTAGATATAGTTTTTTAAAAGATTTAAATTGTCAAGAAGTGCATTTATTGCTTTAAGTTGTTCAGACTTTTATACAATTACAGATTAATTAAATTTTTAAGTTAAAGATCTTATGCTTTACTGAATGGCAACAAAGTGAAAATAGCCTATTCGCATTATTAGGCTGCATGAAAGAAATTGTAATGTAATATTTTTTAATTGCAATACTTTCCAAGTTGCACTGTGAAAACAAATGTGTAGTATTATAATATAATGGTCCATAGAGTTTGAAAAATTCTACTAGAATCATTTCTAACATTAAAATCTTAGATTTTTATAAATGCTTTTAATTTTTTTCTTTTATGTATTTCCTTTTAAAGGAAAGTAACTTTTTTGAAATAGGACAGTAGCCATCTTCTGTACTGAAAGTTCCCAACGGGGTCAGTGAAATTTTAAAGTGGAGGCAGTGATGTTTAACAGGTCAATAATAAATTGTTTATTGATATACAGCTGTATCATATAGTAAGGAAAAGGTCATAGAAAATAAGGCGAAAATATGCTAAAATTATTTAATATATTTTTTAAATCAATGATATTTTTTCAAATATATAAATTTTTTATGCAGTGAGTGTAGTACAAAAAAATAAAATGCAGCACAAGAAAACACAATCAAAAAAGTGCAAAGGACACAAAACCGAAATGGAAAACAAAAAACAGGTTGAACTTTATAGAACAAGGTGATATAACAGTTAAATTAAATAGTTTCATGCCAAATATTTAAAAAAATGTACAGAAAAAATAATACAAAAAATAATTAAATATAAATCTAATTACCATTTTTCAAAACTTTTATTCATACTCTTAATCTAATTATTAAGTTCTTTATGTGCAATGATTTGAATTATGTTTTATGCTGTTTATTATAGGGGGAAAATGTATAAGGAGGCCGATGAAGAAACTTATTCCTTTATAAAGGGTTAGGTATGCAAAGGTTGGGAATCCCTGTTCGACATTATATAAACTAGGAATAAGGAATTAACAGTCTTAAAAGTTGCATTTATAATGTGATTACCTTTTAGACATCTGTTCTTCAGATATAAATTATGCTTTTTATTTTGTGACTTAAAAAAAAAAAGTATTTTAAGTAAATTTATCAATTCTTCATTTTATATACTAATTAAATCCCTAGAAAGGCCTCTTACTCCCGACTAAATAATTTTTTGAATCAACAAAAGTAATTCATATATAAGTTGTAAAGCAGCAATCATTTAAGAAATGAAGTTTGCAATGAAAATTTTAAAACCTTTGAACTGATTTGAAAAAATAATTGAGTTGATTCAGTGTATTAAAAAAAATGGTATCAGTTGAAATTATGTGTTAAATCTCTAAAACAGAATAATACAGAAATGATACACAGATAATACAGAGAAAAATATTAAATATGAAGGTTAATTGCCAAAGGAAACTTTTAAATGAAATTCTGAATATTGCCAAACAGCACTGCATTTTAACTGCCTAAACTGTAATTTGTAATTTTAACTGCCTAAACTGTATTTTAACTTTTTTTTTTTTTTTAACTTTGTGTATTTCTAAGTGAGTAGAATCATTTGCAACTTTTTGTGCCTTATAAGTTAATTCTTAATGACAAAAAGAATGTACATTCTTGTAAGAACTTTAAAATGTTTCTTCATTTTAAGAAATACTATTTCACTTTGCAAGAAGTATAACATTTGACGGGCATCCCACCTTTTTTATCAGTTTTTATCTCCCAGATTAAAGCTGCAAAATTCCATTTAAAATACATACAATTATGCCTTGTAGTTATCTAAATGTATAACAGATGGCAGTACTAGTATTCATGCAAATAATGTAAAATAAAAATTCTTTGAAGGTCTAATTTTGAAGAAGTTTTTTTTATTTATTTCTAATGCAATTTAAATCGTCTGAACAACAACTATTTTTATATGAAAGTTTCCTTTTCTAAAAAATTCTTATTTGAATTCATATATATTACGTAGCGTATTCGGAAACTAAGTACCGTTTCATTCTAGCACCGTCACAGCGCTGTGGTAGGCATCCCGCGCATGCGCACTAGTCTTTCTTGTTTACTGACTTTCAATTGTCACGATTTTTGTTGCTCTATGTTGTGCTTTCAGTTTGCTGTGCACATTCAAAATGTTTAAGACTCTCGCTGACTGTGAGATTCGTGCCGTGATTAAATTTTCAACGCGAGGAATGTTAAACCGGCCGAAATTTATCGTCAAGTGACAGAAGTTTACGGTTAATACACAATAAGTGATGGAATGGTGAGAAAGTGGGTAAGAATGTTTAATGCAGGTCGAACAAGTCCCACGCCGAGGCTCGGAGTGGTCGGCCTTCTGTTGTCACCGATGATTTGGTAAGGAAAGTTAATGAAGCAATTCATGAGAACAGACGCTTCACAATGACAACTCTTTCAGAGGCATTTCCACAAATTTCACGTACTGTTTTGTTCGAAATTGTGTCTGACCGCTTGAATGATCGCAAACTGTGTTGTAACAGGTGATGAAACTTTCTGGTGTCTGGTGTCATTTCACACCAGAATCGAAACAACAATCGATGGAGTGGAGACACACTCATTCTCCGAAAAAACAAAAGTTCAAAGTGACAGTGTCATCACAAAAAATCATGTGCACTGTCTTCTGGGATAGGAAAGGCATTTTGCTTACTGAATTTCTTCCCGGAAGTGAAACCATTAAAGCGGCACATATTGTGAGACTTTAACAAAACTAAGGCGTGCCATTCAAAGCAAACGAAGAGGAATGCTCAGTAAAGGAATTGTGTTGCTCCATGACAAGCTCGGCCCATACTGCTGGTGGTCACTCAATCGTTAATTTCGACATTTCATTGGGAGCAGTTCGATCACCCGCCGTACAGCCCGGACTTGGCACTGTCCGACTATCACTAGTTCCTGCACATGAAGCGCGAGCTCGGTGGCAAGCGCTTTGGATCTGACGATGACACGAAAAATGCTGTGGAGTCGTGGTTATCGAAACTGGCGGGAAGTTTCTTTGACGATGGTATACAAAAACTGGTCACCCGCTATGACAAGTGTTTGATCATTGGCGGAAACTATGTTGAAAAAAAAAGTTTTTTTTTTTTTTTTTTTTTTTTTTTTTTTTTCCCCAAAACAGTTCTTAGTTTCCGAATACGCATTGTAATTAAGAATGGTTGAAATTAAAAAGTGGGACCAAATACGACCCACAGCGCATGTAGGATGTAGGAATTGCTGCTACTAGATGGCAGCACCATTCAAATATTTTTAAATTTAAGTATGTTCGTTATTATGTTGATAATGCAAATTTATATTTTTTAATAAATTTTAATAATGTTAAAACTTTAAAAATATTTAGTATTTTCCCCAAAAGAAATGAAAATATAACTCTGTAACATGAAATGTCATTGAATACTGAATAGATATGTAAGTGTAATTCACCATAGAAAAATATCCTAAGCAGAGGAAAGAGAGGTGAAATGTAAATCATGATGGCCTTCTAAATATCTTCCTTTTTAAACCTGTAGCAAATAAAGTACTGGAGCGAAAATCTTCTCTGTTTCAAGTCTATTATGAAATCATTAAAAAATAACTAAAAAGTCATACAGATACAGAGAGCAATTTTAAAATTTTGCAAATATGATCAATATTTTCTAGTTAATTATTCAAAGATGTTTTTTATATCTTGCATTTTCACTTGGTTGCTAAAACTAGCACTTTAGATAAGCATGTTAGGAGAATTTATGCTGTGGCAAAGATGCCATTTTACTGCTCTAGGTACGTTGTGGGACAAGCGCTATCTCACCATGTCATGAATTACCTTAAAGGTTTACTTTGGGGGGGGCATGAAATAACATTGTATTAGGGGCTAGTTATCTATGTGTAAAGTTATTTTTTTCCCCAAAAAAAATTTTTTATGCAACAAACATCAAAGGGTTAAGTGATTTGAAGAAGGAGCACTTAAACTATGAGAAAATGTTGAATACAATGTTTATGCTAATGTACTTATTAAATAAAAGCATGTTATAATATTTTAGCACTATTTGCTATTGTAGATTAAGTGACCAAAAAAATAAATAGATAGATAACAGAGTGAAATTTTGGATGGTGAATAATTACTTGGCTAAATAAAATTATACTGAATCTGTATAGTGGTGCACAAAAGAGCCAGTCCTCCTCAAGTGTGCATCATTGCAGTTCTTTGCTGAAGAGAATACATTTCACTAGCCTGCTTTACTTTTCATGGCTGTTCTACTTATAGCGGGTATAGTTTCATGGCTGTTCTACTTATAGCGGGTATAGTTTCATGGCTGTTCTACGGTAATTGTAACATTGAAGGAAAAGAGATGAGCTAGAATTTGTCTGTACACACATGGGGCCTATTTTTCATTTTTCATATGCCATCCTGTATTAAAATCGGTTACATGACATTAGGCAGTAAAAGTGAAACAATAAGATTGTTTCCATTAAAATTATTTTTGATTATTTTTTCGCTTACCTGAAAAATAAAATGTTATGTTTGTTAAGTTTATTCTTAACTTAATTGAATGAAATGAAATCTTGCAAGTAGTTGTGAATACATTACTGTACACTTTACTATAAATAACAATTAGTTTATTTTGAAAATTAAACTCATAATAACTTTATGCTACTATAAAGTTGTATTTACATGACGATTATTACAAATGTGGTTAAATTACCTCCTCTTATTGCTTTTGAATTCTTCTCATCTTTTGATCCCAACTGAGTTTTGGTTCTGAAAGGGCTTGCGGTGGTTTGTTCAAACCATGGAAACCATGTAAACAATGAAAAATTATTTGAAATATCTTCTTTCTGGGGTAGCACAACATTATACTGATTGTTTACTTCTATCAGATGTCTTGCAGATTCTTCATAATTTTCTGCCGTTTTCAAAGACTCATTTTCCAACTTCTGCTTTTCATCCATGTTGTTAACGTCTATAATTAAAATTATTTCAATTACATTGCATATTTCTTGCATAATCGATAGACCAAAATTCCTCCCCCTGCTCTTATAAGTATAGTTGGCATTTAATTAAAGAGAAAATTAAATGTAAAATTTCCTGGTATTAAGCTTAAATGTGCTTACTTTTAGCTATCATTAAATTTAAGACTAATATTTATTGCACATTATTATAAGTCTTGAGCATATAAAAAATATTGCTTCAAAATTATATTAATAATTGTTTATGTGTATATATTCTATGTATTTACTTTATTATATGTATTGTTTGTAAATTAATCTGTCAGGTTTAATAGATTAATATGTTAAAATTAGTAATAAACAGAAAACTTGAATTCCTTCAAAACAGTTACTAATATTCTGAGATAAAAGTGTTTTTATAATGCACGCAAATTTTCTGCATGTATAATTTTTATATAAATTATATATTGCAGGATCATGTAAAAAGTCAGTATGCATAAACTTTTCTGAATGTTAAAATCAGTTTATGTCATTCTCTTTTTGCATGCAGTGCTTTATGCTGTTTCATCAATGAATTATATTGAAAAACTGATTAAATTTTGTGTATTACAAATGAGTTGAAAGAGATATATACATAGAATTATCAATTTTTGTAAATAGTAGATGTAAAAAAGTATAATGAAATATAATATTCGATCGCTATTAAGAAATATCACTATTTGTGTATTTCAATATCAAATAAAAAATCAGATGTGTACATTACATGACTTCCTTGTACAGAATATTAAATATTACGCATTTTTTCTTGCATTTCATTTAAACGTATTGGATTGAATTGAATTAAATTTACTTCGTTGAGAGCTCATAAACCACAATATAATAAATGCACTCTTTAAAATTCATTATATTTGTTTACCAAAACGACACTCTGGTGCTAGGTTCACATAACAGCATTACATTTCATTCATTTTATAACTCAGAATGCACAAAATTTATATCATCTGAAGAATTATCTAACCGTTGCCGCATGTATGATGTATAAAGGAAATTAAACAAACAAAAAATTTAAAGGAAAAAAGAAAGAAAGAAACAGTTTTTCACACATGATTAAGTATTTCTCATTCAGTTAATTCAGTTCTCACTTCATATTAAGGCAAAAATACATAAAAACTTACTTATTTCCAAGAATAAATTCCAGAATGGATTAAGCATGATTTAATTCGCAATAATAAAAGAAGGTGCTATCTTGTTGCGAAGCTTAGTTTCTCTAGATTGGCAACAAATCCACTGTTCTCTAAGTTTCAAATGTAAACAATCATGGCCGCCATGGTAAGAATAATTAGGCTTAACCGCACTTAAACAACATTTAAATTGTTGATAATTCTACAAATATTGCATGCAGATTTACTAAAGGCGTAAAAACCTTAACCAGGAGATAAGAACAACATAATTCAATCATTTTTAAAGCAAAAAATGCACAAGATACCCGAAATTTTTCGCGATTACAATACTTCCTTTTTACTTCGTACAAGGAAGTAAAAAACAGGAGCACTAAGCAGCAGAAATTACGGATGGCAAAATATTTAGAATTTAGAGGGGTACTGAGCAACAAATACAGAGATGGGTAAAAGTTTTAGAATTTAGAAAAGGCACTGAACAGCAGAATTTATGCAAGATAAAAATTTTAGAATTTAAGGAAATATCAGGCAGCAAAATCTGTAACACCCCCCCCCACAACCACTCGAGCTGAAAGTTTGATCATGACTAACTTCAATAGATTATCAATCAGTATATTGTTACTGGCTGTGGTACAATTTCCTAGTCAGCATATGTTCGAAAGTGACATGCAAAAATTTCAGTTTGGAGAAAAATTGTATTTACAGCACTCTTGCTTCCTTTTGTTGAGTACTATGTTCTTCATTCCTAAATTTTGTTTTAAGGGGGTTATATTTATTTATTAGTAGTCCAGGGGTCTGAATTTCTGTTATTTGATTGGATAATATCATTTCTTAATCCTTCTGTAAATCTACAGCATTATAAAACTAGATTTTTAGTTATTTAAATTTATATACAGTATGGCAGTTAAATAATGAGACCATGCTTCTCAGAGATAGTCCATTTGATAAAGTTGTCTCTTAACATATCATATTTGTATAATTAATTATATATGCAGTATAGGAAAGACTATGAAACTGAAAAATTGTAGACTTGCACCTCTTTCTTCGGTGTTTAACAACAGTGATCTAAATAGTATTTCATCAATAAAGATACTAAGGAAAAATAGAAAATAATCATAAATATGCACTCAAATTATGATTGCTGGTTAACTTGTTTACTTTGGAGAAAAGTAATTGTTACTTTTCTGTGTTACATTTTAAAAGTATTAAGCATACTATGTCTATTAAAATATGTAGTTAAATATTCTTTAAAGGAAAGTTAAAATCTTCATGACACTGGTAAATATATTTATCAGGTAATGAACAGAGAAATTTTCTTCAGTTGCATGCATAATTCTTTGCCATATTTAGTTTTCTTGTCAGTTTTTTTTTTTTTAATTTTCCTTTGTGAGGTGTTCGCTTGCCTTATAATTTGTGAACTTCCATTTTAAAGATTTGTTCCTTAAAGTTTCAGTGTTTGAGGCTTATAATGAATGTAAAATTTTGGTGCTTATTAAATGAATAACAGGAACCCTTTTCAGTTGCATCCAAAATTGAAGGGAAAAAAAAAAAAAAATCGAAGCATATTTTTATTCATAATAATTTTTTTGAAGTCTAAATAAAATAGATATAGCAAAATAGTTTACAATTATTTGTGAAATGGTTTATCTGTATTAAGTATTACAGTAATTTCCATTGCATAGCATCCAGCATAAATCTGATTCACAATTTTTATTTTTATAAATATTTACTTAATTTATTTCTTAAAATGGAAGATTTTTCAAATATATCCAATCTTTTCACATGTACTTTTACAACTTTTTTTTTTTTTTTTTTTTTTTTTTTTTTAGAACTTGCAGTATTTTAATACATTGACTCAGTTAATCATTATTTCGGAAAGTTTTCATTCAGAGGAGATAAACAGTTTAAAAACTCCAACATCATCCTCAGTAGAGAATCAAAGCTATTCATTGACACATTCTAAGTTGGATAATGCAAAAAAAGTTTAACTGTACTATTAAGCAAAACTGATGGATATAAAAGTATATATGAGTACTAAAATATGGCATGTAAAATAGTTTTGTATAATAAAATTCCTAACTAATATGATTACAAAATTTAATTGATTCAGTGTAATAGTTTGAATATGCGAAGTATAAATTTTATTTTCAGAAACAGTACAAAAAATGTATCAAATTATTGTCTTCAAATTTGAGTGAAGTGATACAATTTCTGAATTAATATAAAATTATTTAAAATTTTCTATAGGGATTTAGATTTTTGAAAATATTTTTTTATGTTTTTGAAGCTGTTTCATAGTACAGTCTTCAGATTTTTATGAGGCATCATAAATATTCATAAATTTTCATGAAAGATGAAACATATATAATTTTTACTTGAAAGTTTTAGTATCATTTGGTAAGCATCTATAGTAAAACTTACATGTTACTCTTTAAATAATGCGAAATGATGTACATTGAAAAAGACTAGGATATGTTCTTACATTCTACAGGATGTTGAAATATTTGCTATGAAATGATATAAAAATAATGCATGAAGTTCAGCATATTTTCCCTGTTGTTAGTGAAAATATCTTCTTAAGTTCTGATATAGTATAAGGTATTTCTCCCACTTCCCTAGCGAGCCTTCGTGGTGTAACGGTAGCACGCTGGGCCGGTATTCCAGAGGTCCGTGGTTCGATTCCCGGCGAAGGCGGTTGCGTATTTTTCATCTTTTCTGCTTCCAATTAACCAAATGACTCTAAGTGGCGCCCGAACTAAAAGGGTTGTGGATGATGATTCTCCGCACCCAGGATTTGGCGACTAGGTCTCCTAAAACCCTAGTCACCCTTTAAAAAGGGGAGTATATAAAGTATTTCTCCCACTTCCCTAGCGTGCCTTCGTGGTGTAACGGTAGCACGCTGGGCCGGTATTTCAGAGGTCCGTGGTTCGATTCCCGGCGAAGGCGGTTGCATATTTTTCATCTTTTCTGCTTCCAATTAACCTAATGACTCTACAATAGTAATGTTTTTCCTTCAATTATTCTCAATTCTCTCTTTAATTCATAAAATAAGAAATTTTTTTTATCAATTAAAGAATTGGATGAATGTGCTAAATCTCAGGAAAAGTTCAAATATTTTATTCATTGGTTAAAGTAATCTGGGGTCATTTGAATAATTTATGAAGTAAAAGAAGAAAACATCTCTGACGTTTTCTGTCAGAAAGATATCTATATTTGACTTTAAAAATTCTATTTATATTACATAAATTAGATTAAACTTTAAAAAATATTTGGATAATATGATATTATATAAATACTGGAGTGCTTTCATATTTGAAAAAAAGAGTCTAAAGTTATAATATGAATTAAACCTCCTACCTGTAATGGAATTGATTGATATTTTTAAAAGAGGAATTGGAAATAAGTTTCATGTTTTCATAAAAAAAAATATTGTAGTATTTGGTTATCAGTTAGGTAGAAAATGTTCAAATGTTTCAAAGTAGTAAAATTTAATTCTAAAATTAATATTTTAAATAATCAACATATTTCTCAATAACATAATTTAGTCAAAACTAGACATATTTTGCAATATATGACTATAAAAGCCATTCAAATATCTGTGACCGACATATAAAATTTAACTCGGAATTGAAAATGGATTGCATACATCATTAAAAAAATATCGAAGCTTGGTGGGAAACTGAATCATTAAGTGATAAATATGTGACTATCATTGTTTCAAGACTATTTAGTAGGCATTATTTTTTAAGTAAAAATATTTTCTTTTACAATGAAAGTATGTCTAAAGTTAAATCTATGTAAGGGTGGAATTTTCCGATTTTTGTCTGTGTAGGAGAAATCTGTGTTATTGGGAAAACTGAGGGTTTCTCTGAACTTTCTCTTTAGGATTGAAGGGAAAATTTAGAAAACGAAAAAAAAATTCTAAAAACATTTGTTCATTACCTTACTCTTACTCCCTAAGGGTCGATAAATTATCATAGAAATGTTCTTTTCTTTTTTACCTTACACTATTTATAGAAAATATCTTACTCAGGTTTTATAATAATGCATTACAAGATTTTGCATTTCATTGAAAAATATGCAAAGTTTTACTGTTCCTAATGAGTGGGATTTTTTGAATGTTTATGTGCGCATTGGATATTTTATTGCATTTTTCCCGAATAAAGCATTCGACGAATCTAATAATATGTAGAATAAGTATGCTTAATGCTTATCTTTTAAAAATCTTAATTAAAGTTAGTTGAATTAGTATTAAATGTATCTAAAGGGCTGATTTTACTTTATAATGATTTATAATTTTTGTGTATATACTGATAAGGTTAGATAAAGTGAACTTCAGGTTATGCCATTGATAGTAAGAAACGGATAAAAATCTATTGTATAGCATATTTTTTAAAACTTGTTGGGAACTTTACGTAAATAATTTAAATTTAGTAAAATTTCTATCTTGATTTAAATAAAACCGTAAATATTGTATAGTGGAACATGCTGATTTTGTTATTTAGCTCTTTAATATCATGTTATGAAAATAATTCTGAGATGGGTATTAAGGTAGTACGTAGGAAAATTGGAATTTTCATTTCGGCAAAAGGTAACATCTAGCAACATTAATTCAATTGCAGTTCTCGAAAATACGTA